ATAAAATATTATCTTCATATTTTATTATGAAAATGATATTTTTTTTAATTTGGATTGCATAAAAAATATACAATTTAAGTTGAAAAAAAATTTTGTTTTACTATTTTGAAATGTTTTGTTTATTTTAAATTGTATAAAAATAAACATAACTATTAATGGGAGAAGAACTATTAAATGTAAGACCATATTCCCAAATCAAGAGCTATCCCTTTTTATGGTTAAAGGAGCTAATACAATAAAAAGCAATATGTTTATTGTTCACAACTAAATTCGATTTTTTTGAACAAAATAGGCAAAAAAAAAAAATGTAAATTGAAGCTTACAAGGATATTTTTATTTTTAATAAGTGACATGTGATTCATTTTATTTTCCAAAATTTAAGGATTTCACGTTAAAAAAAAGAAAAAGAAAAAGAAAAAAAAGTAGTATTAGTAGTTAGGTATTTCCGTCATTTTATATTTCTTGAAATAAAACGGTAAAAAACCAGTGCACAGCGGTTAAATCGTAAAACGAGTAGAAGCAAAATAAATTAAAATGCATCGAAAGGCTCAAAGCTTTTCCATGATTCTAAACTTGAAAATTTTTCCAACGGATCAACGGACAAGAATCGCCCAAAGCAAAAAAACCTACGCCGATGAACGCAAAAATAGCAAATCCAGGTTTAATTTCTTCGTTTTTCTTTTTCTTTTTTTTTTTCTTAATAAATGTTGTTTTAATATTAGTACTACTGCCACTGAGTTACTGGTGGCTGCTAGTAAATCTTGCCGATTATTTCTAGCAAAATTTTATTTGTCGGGAATTTTCTTTTTTGGCCAAAATTTGTCGACATCTCATTGAGGAGAAACGTAAATACCAATAGACAGAATTATTATTAAATAAATTAAGTTATTTACTTATAAATAAATTTTGTTTTATAAATTAAGTTTGAAATTTAAATCTTAATATTAATATTTAAAAATTTAAATTTCTTAAAAATATTATATTGATGTAAAAGGTAAATCTTTCAAATTATATAAAGGGATCAATATTAAGATACACAAAAGCTTACTCCTAACGGCCTCCCCATATATAAAAACAATAAACAAAATTACAATACCAATAAAAAATTTTAAATTGAAATTGGGCAATGTATATGTACAATACAATCTTATCCTATATTAAAATATTCTTAAGTAATATCTTTTTAATGGACAATTTAATATTTTGCTTTTTATAATTCATGAGATGAATGAATGAATGTATAAGTGAAAAGAGTTAAAAA